TGGATCCCTATAAGAATAACCTACAAGAATTCATATACTTTCCTATATAGGATCCTATACAGGTCAGACAATAAATTTTTAAAAAAATTTAAGTAGGATACCTATGGGGCAAAATTCCTCAACTGTCCAGGTCAAAAAATGAATTTTCTCTAAACTTTGCTAAAATGTTACTATTATTAGTAGAAGTGTAAATATAAATTTTTTTTGAATTTGATAAAATATTTTTTGAGTTATGGAGTTTCAAAATTTTGATTTTTTTGAAAATATCTTTTTTTCAATTTAATATATTGATAAGTAAAATTAATCAAATTTAAAGTATGAATAGTGATTTTTAAAGGGGTTTTCACGGGTTATAAGCTGGTGATGAAAAAAGTTGTTTTCTTTCAATTTGACCTTGAAATTCAAGGTCAAATTCTTAATTTCAATATACCTCAAAATCGATGTTTTTTATTTTTTTCTAACCTATCCCAATCGAAGGCTTACCTTTTTTCCTATGAGCCATGTAAACATCATAGTAGGACCATGGAAATTTTCAAGGAAAATAATAATTTATCATTATTTTACATAGAAAATGATGATTTATAATTAATTTCTTCAAAAATTTCCATGGTCCTACTATGATGTTTACATGCCTCATAGGAAAAAAGGTAAGCCTTCGATTGGGATAGGTTAGAAAAAAATAAAAAACATCGATTTTGAGGTATATTGAAAGTAAGAATTTGACCTTGCATTTCAAGGTCAAATTGAAAGAAAACAACTTTTTTTCATCACCAGCTTATAACCCGTGAAAACCCCTTTAAAAATCACTATTCATACTTTAAATTTGATTAATTTTACTTATCAATATATTAAATTGAAAAAAAGATATTTTCAAAAAAATAAAAATTTTGAAACTCCATAACTCAAAAAATATTTTATCAAATTCAAAAAAAATTTATATTTACACTTCTACTAATAATAGTAACATTTTAGCAAAGTTTAGAGAAAATTCATTTTTTGACCTGGGCAGTTGAGGAATTTTGCCCCCTATAAAGGATTTTCCAGTAGGGCTAACAAGGATTGCGAAAAAAATTCCCTGACTTCTCCCTGACTTTTTACTTATTTGTATTTTATTACTTATTTTATTTTTGCATTTTTGGGACAAAAATATGGTAACGGACATATTTAACAATAAATTAATATCTAATGATGTGTAGAAAAAAATGGTAATACAATTTGTTTAAGTTTTATTAGATTAAAAAAATGTTTAATTAACAAAAAATTTTAATTTTTTTATAAATTTATAGAAATTTCCCTGACTTTGAATTAAATTCTCTGACATTTCCTGACTTTCCCATGACTTTTCCCTGACTTTTCCATGACTTCCCTGACCGTTAGACACCCTGTCTAAAATAACAAGTTTCATACAAGTGTTTTCGATTTTGAAGATTAAAAGTGTACCTATCACTTGTCCCAACGTAAAAGGGTTTTTATTGTGTTATTTGGAAAGCTTTTGATGCCTACTATTTAGAAATGTAATAAAAAACCTGCGACGCCTGGGCCCAAAAATCGGCCTAATTGACCCTCTTCATGTACAGTTAAAAATACAAAAATATTGATAACTAAAATAGGGATCATTTAGGATTTCAAATTTTACAGATTCTTAAGGCAGTAGTCTCCTTCAGAAGGCGAAAAAAAGCGTTTTTTCAGGAATTTTTTTGAAAGGGAAAGAAATGATTGCGGTAAACGAAACTCTTGGGTGATATTCTACTGTGTTTGAGCTTAAAAAACCAACTTTTATTTTTAAAAAATATTTAAATTCTTCTTAGTAACAACGATTTTTATGGAGCGCTGCAGTCTGTATTTTTACATCGGTGCCGGTGATGGAGGTCGTACGATGCAACTGAAACAGTCAAACCAAATTTTTTTTTACTTTTTATAAGTGTCTTTTCTATTTGAACTAAAAAATACCAAAGAAATTAAAAAATTCCAAATTTTTTCGAAGTTTGAAAAAAAGTTCACTTTAAAAAAAAAATTCACTTTAAGGTGCAAAAAAAATAGTTTCAATAATACTTTAGTCCAACTATTTTAGTTCAAATAGAAGATAATTTAATACTGAAGCGAGAACACTTTGATTTTTGTCAATCGGACAAAAATTCTTTTTGCTATCACCTGCACCGTTTTCTATGACGTGTGAAAATAAAAATTCGAGAAAAAGTGATTTAAAGTTTTATGTCCAAAAATACAATTTTTAGGATACTTACACTAATTAAATTTTAATCAGCTATTCCTGGCCCATATAGTAGTCCTTCCTCTTCTTTGAAGAACTTAATTTTGTCGAAGATTTTTTTCTCGTCGAGCTGTCTGAGCCTCCTTGCTCGAAAATGACAAGCGCCGGTTTTCCCTCGTTATGCGCTCCGCATCGATATTATCGGCAAAATTTTTGCATTGCTGCCCGATAACAGTATCGAGCAGCTGCATAGTGGTCAGCACAGATGCATAGGCCTCGTTAAAAATGCCTGCAGCCAAATTTGCCGCTATTTCGACGATTTTAGAGCCGGAATTGACGTGATTTGGGTTTAAGCGCCACACAAGCGAATTGAACGCTCCGTTCGAATTTTGAGTGTGTGTATACACCTTTTCAGTTGAATACAAGGAGATACAAGGTTAGGTAAACAATAGAACGCATGAAGGGGCGGAGCGCGCGCGTTGGGGTCTGCCCGAGCATTCACATGTGCTCGACGATCGGTCACAAAATCTGTTCTACCTTCGAAAATATATCAAATTGGCCTCTAAAATTTTAAAGACATATTCTTGGATAATTTTGGAATAGATTTAAGACACACGAAAAGGTCGGTTTTTTTAAGCTTATAAAGGAGACTACTGCCTTAATGTACAAACGACCTAGAAACACCTTCCACAACCCGATTTTGAATCCATTTTAATCTCATTTCTTTCTCTTTCGAGACCACTGTGTGTACTTACCTAAAATTCATTAAATCTAATCAATTTTAAACAGGATGGAAAAGTTGTGCCTTTCAATGTTCTGATAGATAATTTAATCAAAATGGGATCACAGACACAGGAGGAACTTGAATCAGTAAAACGAGAACTGGAAAATTACAAATCTTTAAAATTAACGTTTAAACAAAAAGAAGAACTGCAAACGCTTGTAATATTTTTTAATTTAGTTATTTTTTAAGTTAGCTATATTTGATTTTTTAGTAGTATTACTACTTAAAGTTAATGATTAATTTACCAGTAAGTCGCCGGAATGGGGGGAGACCCGTCAGGGCAGGAAAGGAATCTTGGTTTCCGACATGTTGACCGCGAATGGGCTGGTGGTGTTAAACCGAGGCCACAAGTTCACGTTTAGGAAGGGAGAATAGGGATCTATCCTCGATTTAACAATCGCATCTCCCCGCCTGGCCCGCAGAATAAGAGAATGGAGGGTACTAAATGAGGAAACATTAAGTGACCAGCAGTGCATAGAGTTTTTGGTCTCCGAGGAATATCCTAGAGGACGCGTAGCACCAAAAAATGCCCGTGTAGAAATTTCGCTATGGCCCGGATCAGGGACAGATCGGGCCTTCCCTATTAGAGAATGAAACACACGGTCCGATATGGCCCTGATCCACATTTGATCGTCGCCCCTATCTGGTCCAGGTCGGGCCGTGTGTTTCATTCCCTAATATGGCCATAGTAGGGAAATTTCTACACGGGAGGTAGCAAGGGCGCCTCTTGGAACCTAAGGAGACTAAACAGGGAGAAGCTGGCGGAATCCCTAAAATAGTCGCGACTTAATTGTAAATCAAACTGGGTGAGGAAACCAGCTTCTTTTAAGGGTATAGTGAGAGAGGCAAGGCAAGTGATTGTACAAGCTTGTGACCAATCTATGCCTCGACGGCAAAAAAGAAAAACTGGTAAGGGATCTATGTACTGGTGGAGTGAAGAACTTGCCTGCCTTTGAAGAGAATGTCACGCAGCTAGGAGGAAATTTACCCATTCTAAGGGAAAGCTCGAGCTGCGAGAAACATGGAATAAAGCCAGGCGTACTTCTAAGCAGGCCATGAAAAGTAGCCAACGCATACCGAGCGAAATCTTAATAAAGGTTGTTGCGGTGGATCCAGATTTGCCTCTTGACATCTTTAATATGTGCTTGAAAACCGGAAAGTTTTTCGGCCACTGGGAAACGCAGAAGTTGTCCCTTCTCAAGAAAGGCGATAAACCTCTGGATAAGTTCACATCGTTCAGACCAATTTGCTTATTGGATACAATTGGAAAATTTCTAGAAGAAATGGTTCTGCAGAGACTTCAGGAAATCCTGATAGACAAAAATAGCATATCGAAGAATTAATTTGGCTTTCGCAAAGGTCGGTCAACAGTTGACGCAATACTCACTGTTGTAAACAACGCTAAGAAAGTCAAAGAGGACAAGAAGAAGGGATTCTGTGCGCTTGTTTCCATCGACATACTTAATGCATTTAACTCTGCAAAGTAGGACAATTGCATCGAGGCGATGCGTCGTAAAGCGGGGTATTAACCTATCTGTTACGAATGTTCGACAACTATCTCAGCGACAGATGGATTGAATACAAGAGCGATGCATGTGATCTCAAACATGAAATGACATGCGGAGCTCCGCAAGGATCAAAGGTAGGTCCATTCATATGGAACGTCATGTACGATGACTTCCTTAGAATTGAGTTACCTGAAGATACAATAATGGTTGGCTTTGCGGACGACGTCATTATAGTATGTGGCGCGTGGACCCCTCGGATTCTAGAAGTTTTCTCAACGAAAGCTTGAGGCGAGCAAAGCTCTTGTTAGACCTCAACGGTCTACAAATGGCTACAGAGAAGACTGAAGCTTTGCTTGTCACAAGCAAAAGATCCTTTGAGGTCCCGAAGATAGGGATAGGATAGACTGAAGTCTCCTGGGGAAATAGTTTAAAGCACCGGGAAGTGATCAACGAAAGCTTGAGGCGAGCAAAGCTCTTGTTAGATCTCAACGGTCTACAAATGGCTACAGAGAAGACAGAAGCTTTTCTTGTCACAAGCAAAAGATCCTTTGAGGTCCCGAAGATTGGGATAGGATGGACTGAAGTCTCCTGGGGAAATAGTTTAAAGCACCAGGAAGTGACGTTGGATCGAAAATTAAAGTTCGACCAACATGCTAAGATCACATCACTGTATGCCGTCGACTGTATGGGGAACCTATCAAGGATGATGCCCAATGTCGGTGGCCCCAGGGTAAAGAAATGGCAATTAGTGGTGACCGTGGTTCAAGCAAGGCAGCTTTACGCTGCCCCTGCATGGACTAAGTCCCTAAAGAACTGCGGCATCTCTGATGAGCTACTCTCTGCGCAGGGTGGATGTGCGCGGAGAGTGGTTTCAGCTTATAAAGCAGATTCAACGAGCGCTGCTCTGGTTCTTGCGAGTTTCCTGCCAGTGGACTTACTGGCGAGGGAAAGACAGGAGGAGGTATTTCAGCTTAACAAAGATCGAGTTACCTCCCAAGAACAACAGAGTAGGAATCTTGCTTAAACGGTTAATCGCAAAGAGGCGAGATGTAGACTCGTTGAAAGATAGCAAGAAAGATGGTATGGGGATCTTAAAAGAAGGTGGACATATCGCCTGATCCCCCACCTCGCCACTTGGATAGGAAGAGAGCACGGATAAGTTGGCTACTACGTGGCACAAGTGTTGTCAGGTCACTGATGTTTCCGACAGTACCTTCATAGGTTTAAGATTAAGAGAGAAGCAAAATGCGCCTACTGTGATGCTGCAGTGGATGACGCGGAGCATACTCTCTTTCATTGCGGACACTGGTGTCTACCATGGTAAAGAACGTGGTCTCGTGAAAGCATTTTAAATCCTTCATTATTAAAATAATGGAGGAAAAAGATAGAGACAGAAGACGAGGTTAACCGGAGGAATCCAGTGCTCAGCTGTATGTAAGCGTGGGGGGAGGAAGACATTTACTTTTCCTCCCACCCACGCTACAACATAGCTTGAGTGGATTAAAAGGAAGTCAAAGCAGGATAAAGGGACCACCACTTGCGAAGTTCAAGGCCTGAGGTAGTTCCACAGGTGGTTCAAGTGTCCCAAAATAAGACGGGAGTGGTTGTTAGTAGGTCATAACCTGGGTTTTTTTTATCCAGATATCTGAATTTACAGATTTTTCACTTTCGACTAAAAACAAAAAAGAATAATTTACTATTAATTCCAATAAACACATTGTTTTTATAATTTTTAAAATTTATTTAGATTCTTGATAACAATTTGATTTTTTTTTTCTTTAAATGGTCTTGAATTTTCAAATAAAACACCAAAACATTTTTTAATTCTTTAAATAAACTGTTTCATATAATCTTTGTTTCTTGGTAACTTTAGACAAATACAATTGATGATGAAGACAAGGAGAAGAAAAAATCGCTTTTGAAAATTATAAAAGAAACATTTTTGAGCGATAATGGTAAGAGAAATTTTTTAAATACGGTCAGAATTCGTAGAAGTTTCACGAAAAATGAAAAGTAATTTTATAATCGAAATGTTAAAAAATATTTATTTTTAGACTTAGGAATATGTCTACCAAACAACAGAAAACAATTTTTTTAACCCACTTGCACAAAAATGGCGCTTTCTGATAGCAGATGGCAGGAAGTAAAGTCATTCATTTGTCGTATCGTATGAAAATGGCAACCATTTTCTCCCATGGGCAAAAATAACAGCTGACCTCATGTGTTATTTTTGCCCATGGGAAAAAATGTCCGCCATTTCCATACAAGTCGAACAAGTGAATGACTTTTATTCCCTGTCGTCTGCTATCTGAAATCGACACTTTTGTTCATTAGGAATAAAAAATATCGTAAGTAACACGGGAATAAAGGCAGACTATTTCTTTACGATGACTTTTATGACACGAGTAGAGGTCGAGGGCGCCCTCGACCGAGGGCTGTCTTTATCCCTTTAATAACAATTTTATTTATTCTAAATGAATGCACCGATTTAAATAAACCAAGCGGTAATACAAAAGAGATGAATTATATTTCCGTTTAGAATTAGAAAATTTTTATTTTTTAAAAGTTATTTAAATTGTTTATAAACAATTTATTTTTTAATGTTCTACGCTTTTTAGAAATTAAAAAAAACTCTAAAAAATCAAACTCAGCTGAGAAAATATATATAAACGACAAATATTTTTAAAGTCATGATAAAAATTATATTGCACGGATTTCATGTATTTTCAGAATTATAACATTATTATCACCGTCGTAAAGAACACTATTAAATTAACATTTTGCAATTAAATAACCATAAAATTAATCAAAAACTAAGTGTAGTGCTGATGCATGTTGAGATCATTTAGTAGATACGTTCCTGAGGCCGAATAGAAATTTTTTTTTAACATTTCGGTTAAAAAGAAATACTTTTTATTTTTCGTGAAAAAGCTGCGGCAAGTACCATGCAAAAAATGCCCGTTTTTCGTACTTTGAATTAAAAAATTTTTTTTTATGCCAACTGGTCAAATTTCAAGGTGAGTATATGCTCCATTTAGCAAATACACTGGAAGGACCGTACGAACTGTTTTGCGATAGAGTACCATTATTTTACCACTGAATTTTTTAAAGGGACCAGAGTGTTTTTAATAGACAGTACTGCCACAACTTTACGACTCCCTCTTTGACCCTCGACGGCCCCATATACAAACGATGTAAACATGCTACCGCTGATCGAGCTACCGCTGATTGGGCTTCTAGTGTATAGAGGGTCAAAGTTGACCATGTTCAATAAAAAAAATATAGCGATTTCATATGATATTGACTTTAAATTCCATGCACAGGGCATGCGTTGGCTAATACAGAATGTATATCACGCCATTACCAGGTAGTAGTAGTAGTAGTAGTAGTATTTAACATTGGCACTATACTGGCGTTGCGCTGTGTATATTCGGCCATGACCAGGTATATGAGTGGAGCTTAATGTTGAATCTGTGAACATAAGAACGGTGGCACGAACGCCAACCTACTCCCGCGTGCGCAACCAGGGGGCACGAGAACCCCTGATCGCGCCCACGGGAGCAAGTCAGCGCGTAGAGTATTTAAATCTGGATGTTGGCTCGTTTTAAAAATCTGAAGATATGGTAAACTACTCTAGGAGAGGGATTGATTAGAAATTGGTAACTACAAAAAGGTGGGGGGCACTTTAGAGCTCTTGACAGTGCTTTGAAAAGCTCTGGTCGAAATGCGTCAAATCTGGGGCATGCCCAGAGGATGTGATCAAGATCTTCCTCTACTCCCGGACTGCAGGAGCAGTCACCGAAGAGAATATAATTTTTCCTGGCTAAGCTAGAACCTAAATTATAATGATTCGATCGCGCACGGCATAGCGAAACAATCCACGCTCTACGAGCTACAAAATTCGCGAACCACGGTTTTCTTTGAGGTTTGTAAAAAAGTTGTGTGTAGTAATAATGGGAGTTGTATGTCTAATTCATTAGGATTCGAACACGCTTCATTTGCCGCCTTATCAGCCAATTCGTTGCCCTCGATTCCCGAGTGACCAGGAACCCAGGCCAATATTGTCGGTCGATTCAAATCAGAAAGGATCTTAAGGCGATTTCTAATCGCAAAAATGATGTAGGATTTGATTTTATATGTGCATTTAGAGTTTAAATTTTGAAGAACGCTAAGTGAGTCTAAAAAGATTATTGTGTTAGTAAGATTAGAATCAATTATGTAATCAAGAGTAAATAAGATAGCAAATGCTTCAAGAGAAAAAATAGTTGCATGGTGAGAAATTTTAATTTTAGAAAAAATATTTAATGTTGGAGAAACAAAGGAACATCATTACTTCTAATGAGTTCGCTGCAATTTTTCGCTTCTTCAAAAGCAATTAAGAGAGGATAATTATATTTAACATTCGACTTATAAATGAGGCGCAAAAGTTCTGAGAGTCTGTCCGGTAAAGGGTGGTTTGAATTAAAGAAAGTTCTACAAAGGTACTTCTTTGCCAGGAAATTAAATCTAGATCTTAAGGGGGGTTCACAACATTCAGCCTGCATTACGTTGATAGGGGTGCTATTTTGAAGTCGAAGAGCTTGGTTGCGGATTTTTTCAAGACGACCCTAGGTAGATGCTTTGTTGACGCGAAAACGTCAAGAATCCGTCAAAAGTTGACGTTAACAAAAAAAGTGTTTTAAATACAAAAATATGATAAAGTAAGTATTGGGTTTTGTAGAAAAAGTGTTTATAAATCGTTTATGACCTTATTTGTTACAAATTAATGTAAAATAAGTGAAATAAAAGATAAAATATGATAAAGTAAGTATTGGATTTTGTAGAAAAAGTGTTTATAAATCGTTTATGACCTTATTTGTTACAAATTAATGTAAAATAAGTGAAATAAAAGATAAAATATGTGAAAATGTCAAGTGAATGTGTATTGATAAATTGGTGTGTGTTTTAGAGGAAAGTGTTGTTGACATGACTTTTTAATGTATGATAAATAGTGAAAAATTGTAATTTTGTTGTTATAAAGTGTAATAATTAATGAAAGTTGATGTTTTAATATTATGAATAATGTATATAGCAGCTGAAAATAGCAAAGGACGGTTACCTACACGCTTTTGATATGTCGCCGCGCATTTTACACGACAGATGGCGGGAGTGACATTTGTCCATACGTATTTTATCACATGAAAATTAAACCAAAAATACTATTTTTATAGTGCAAGATACTTATTACCTTTTTTTTGTTTATACTCCTGCCCTATTGGCCTTACGCACTTCGACAAGAAACCCCGAGAAATACTTTTTTGAAATAAGCATAACCATTCTACTTATGAAATTTTCTATATATTAACCTAATTTGCGTCTACAGCCGACTTTTATTAGGAGTACTCGCATTCCGCCTGGACCACCCGTCAATGGGTTTTCTCGCCAGAGAAGAGGAAAACTGTAGAAAGCCTCTCCTGAGTACAACCGGTTTATCGACAGTCGAGTTCTAATGGTGTGTACCGGACAATAATCGACGGTGCACATCATTATACCTCGACGTCAAACCTCCCGCTCAGATTTTCTCACGTGCCGGAAAAATACCAAGCCAAATGGGCGCGAACCAAGGGTACTTATACCCTTAGTCCTTAAACGACCGCCAAGCGAGGCATCTATCCGACTGAGCTAATCTGTCGACTTATTACCTTTCTTTAAATCATTTAAATTCAAAAAAATAATGATAAATTTAAAGTAAAATGATAAATAATATACCCACTTAATTTATCAATAATTACTATTAAAGAATACAGCACGAAATACATGGTAAAAAACTCTGTCAACTTTCTTGCTTTTAGTAAACAGAAAGAGTTTTAATCTTATATTTATTGACAAAAAAACTGTTTTCTGTTTTATCACATTCAAAACAAGAAATAGGAAAACCAACTTTTCAAGGTGATTTTTATTTAACCCTTTGCGGCATGCATAACATTATAGCATTAATTTAAAAATCACAAATGCTTATGAGGGTTTTTAGGGTCGCTGATTACG